GAGAGAGGGAGGCTGGCTGCAGCCGAGCCCTTAAGGGAACCCAGCTGAAGCATCCTTGCCTGGGGAGAGGCTGCCTTTCCTCCCGAGCCTCTCATCTTTCTTGACGGGGGGGGGGGGGGGATCCTGGGAGTTGCAGTCCAGCCCATTCAAGGGTGGGCCGGCGGGGAAAGTGGACTGGGAGGTGCTCGGCAGTAAGTTGGGTCTCCCAGTTTTTGCTAAAACTTCCTCCGCCCTGGATGTCAACTCCCATTGGCAGTGTCAGCTGGGAATGATGGGAACTGCAGTCCAACACACCCACACGGGGAAGACAGCCTGAGCCCTGCTCCCAAACGGAGCGGGAAGGTCTCTGAGGCCCTCATGTGGGGACCCGGCCTGGTTCCTGCTTCTGGACTGGAAGGGAGCCCCATCTTCCCAGGGTCCAGTTGGTGAGCCTGACAAGCCCGGACTGGTCAGGGCATCGGTGCCACTTCCCAGGTGGTGGCCAAAGGTCCAGTGCCCACTGGTTCTGCTCTTTGGGGTCAGCCCCACCAGGCCCTTCCTTTCCATCTCTCCGGCTCTGGGCAGAACAGCCTTTGTGCTTGCCGAGGACACCTGGAAAATGGGGGGAGGTCTCCCTCCGGGGCCTTCCTGCTGATGGTCTTCTCCCACCTCCTCTCTTGCAGGCCGGGCAGAAGGAGCCCTGCCCGGCCAGGGCGAAGCGCTGCTGGTCTCCAAACAGGCTCTCCAGATGGCTGCCTTGGGCCGCCCCTTCCAGCTGGGGATGCTGTACGACCTCCGAAGCGACACCCTCGTCCCAGATACGGTGCCAAGGAGGGTGGCGTCCTTCTCTGCAGCAGGGCAGGGGATGACAGCAAAGATGGGGGAAAGGGGGTGGGGCTGCTGTGTTATTAAACTCCAGTTTGCAGTGGGTCCCGATTCCCTGCTGAAGCGCATCCTCCCTTCTTGCCTTGTCATTGCAAAACCTCTCAGTAGCAGAAGTCTCACCGAAGCAGAGGCCCGGAAGGGGTCGTAAAGGTCATCCAGTCCGGCCGCACCAAATGAACCTCTGATGGTCTCCAGGCCGCCTCCCTCTTCTGCAGTTGATCTTACAAATTCTGGCTCCAATCTTATACTTAGAGCATCGTGGGTTGGGCAGTCCTGAGGCTGGCCCTTCAGAGAAGGCTCCTGCAGGGCCCTTGGGTCCGTTCAGCTTGCAGGATGCCACGCGGATGCCTTGGGGAGCGTGCCTGTGCTATAGCCACACCTTCTTTGCTAGGAATCCTGGGAAGTGTAGTTTTGCAGAGCCACACTGGTCGGCTGCTGGGGGAAAGAGCTGTTGAAGCTGTGGCCAGCCCAAGAGCCTCCATGGCCAGAAGCAGTCCGCTGACATTTTGCCACCTTTTGGGAAGTTGTTGTTCAGTCGTTAAGTCGTGTCCGACTCTTCGTGACCCCATG